GGGTCAAACCCCCCATTGTGGCCATCGCTTGTGCCTGTCCCGGAGCTAGTGGGAGCCGCTGGAGGCAGCTGGTGAGCAGTGTGTCCCTTTGGAGCGCGTGGCCACTGCTTCTGCTGCCTCCGCCTGTCAGCATGCTTGTAGGGGCGTGGCTCACTCGATGCCAGATCTGAAACCCCCTAAATCCACCACCTTCTTCCTCAGCATCTGCCACTTCTCCATCCCGTGTCTGAGAGCATGCACTTGGTGATGGTGACGTGGTGGGCTACCAGCTGGGCAATGCCTCTTGCAGTGAGAGTGCTCCTCTGCCTGCACAGCCAGCCACAGAGGCTGGCACCGATTTCACCCAAGCAGGATTTTCCATTGTCGTTCCCGCTGCTCCAGTGCCAATTTTCCAGAAAATAAGCCAGCAGAACTTGTGGTGGTCTTTTATTACATGCCCAAAACAAGAGAGCAGAAAGGAGGTTTTTTCAGAGTATTACCGGTTTCATTCTTTGCTTTGGGTTTTTAGAAAGGAAAATTAGCGTTCACCACATACAGCTAGGCACATGTGTACGCACCAAGTGCTCCTGAAAATTGATTTATGGTAATTGGGTTTTTTTTTTCTTAGATTTTTAAAAAGAAATCCACCCTCTAGGGATGAAAGACTAGATCAAGCGTCAGGGTTAACACCTGAGCTTGCTGTAATCTTGACTTCTAGACTGACGGAACGGTGTAGTTCACATCACAGGTGGGCAAAATATCCTCTTCACTATCTCAGCCTAAAGATGAAATTAGTGCCTTTTCGCAGGGGACACGAACCTGCTTGCACCTCCGGCGGAGCAGGGCTCACCCCGCTGCACCGCAGGTAGCCAGGCCAGCCAGGCGCTGCAGGAGAGCAGGGATAGATGGTGGAGCTGCCACGATGAGACCCCCGTTCTGTACCACGCACAGGCAACCGGCCTCAGTGAGATGTACAGACCTTACAAGGTTTGGCAAGTTAACTCGACCAAATCCCTCGGGCGACTTAGAAGGAACAAAGGGAGACAAAAATAGATTGATGGACTGTATCAGGGGAATTGCAAGTGTCAAAAATATCTGTTGCTCAGGGCAGGGGAAGATGGAAGTGACTGGAAGAGGCCAGAGTTCAGCAGTGGATTTATAAGGCTCCTTCTGGCACTGATAATATTACATTGTCATATCTGCACATGTGTTGCCAGAGTCAAGAGGGACTCTTTCTTTATCCTCTGCTTTGCTTTTTTCCTCAGCTAGACTTTGTTAAGGCTTTTTTCAAAAGGCATGGCAAGGAGCATCGCTCAGCCAGGGTAGCCCGGCGGCAAAGAGCACATCTGGCTGCACGGGGGAGCGAGGGCGGCGTGCGAGCAGGCATGCCATGGGAGAGGGGCATGCCTCTGGGGAGCACAGCACCCCACAAAGCACCTGAATTTGGCTTCTGTGCTGTGGGAGAGGTTCTGCTCACTGTGCTCACAGGCGGATGTGCATGAAGGACATCAGTGCAAATTATTTCTATTATCTTCTGCTATGTAAAATAAAATCCAGGTGAAGGTGTGTCGTAAACGGGTTTGAAAACAGACTCTGGTGCTTTTCCAAAAGAGGGTTGCAGTGGGTGTCTCTGGAGCCTCGGACCTGAGTGGGTGCCCTTGCTGGGGTGGGAGGAGGACGTGGCCCCAGTGGGCGCAGCCACTCTGTCGGGGCGTGACCTGGGCTGAGCGCAGGCTGCTGTCGCTGGGCTGGATGGCTCCAGTTTGTCAGCCCTCGCAGTGTGAGCTGGCTGGGCTCGGTGCCTGCTCTGGATAGGCTCTCATGTTGGAGCAGATTTTATCCTGTCATGTACATTTGTTCTCTGGCAAGCTGGAAGCTACAATTTATTATTAAAATTGATTGGCTCCAGTGCAGGGAAAACGATCGTAAGGAAACCCTATTACGGTTTTTCATTATCACCATTATTTATTTTTAAGTGCTATTAATATTCCTGAGTCTGGACAAGGCAGAAGATGAAAGGTGGTATCCACCCTTGCCGCTCGCAACCTGAGGCCTAGCAGCACTGTCTGCAAGGGCTCTTTGAACAATTAAGCATATTGGAAAGTTCTTGTCCTCAGTCTGCCTCCAGTGAATGCTAATGGGAGTAGAGCCGAAAAAGAAACAATTCTCGCATTGCCTGAAAATTATCCACATTTTGAAGGTGTTCCCAGTCTCTCCCAGGTGGAAAGAGGCTCTGTGAGCAATGCTGGGCAGGGCCAGGGCCAGCGTGCTGCTCGGCAGGCACCGGGGGTGCAGGAGGACCCGGGGTCAAGGCTGGGCTGTGCTGAGCTGGGCTGGGCGGCCCTGCCGGGGCAATGGATACCTTGGGGTCACCTGTTGGGGCTGTGCCATGTTCAGCGAGAATTGAACCTGTTGCTGGGGGTCTTCATGTCTCAGATAAGGTCCCAAATTGAAACTGAGTCAATATCTTGCTCTCTCTGAACCAATACATCGTTAGTCCTTAATTCAAAGTAGAAGAACTCAGGCTCTCTTATTTCACAGGCTAAACTGCAGCATGTCTTCACCTGTTCCCCTGGGTTTGGACCAAGCCTGTGTGATAGTCTGATAAAAAATAAAGCCCACAGTGGTCCGCAGGAGGAAGGGATGGCTCCCATCTTCTCCGGGGAGCACCATGGGAACCTCAATGCTCGCTTTCTGATGGACTTGACTGAAATGAAGTTTTGGTTGCAAAATACTAAAAGTGGCTTCTTTGTAACATAGACTGGATAGGATTTATTTTTTCTCCCCAGCAATGAGCACTTTTTTCTTACCTCTGAGATCTTACTAGCAGTCATTATAAAGTCCCCAATGCAACTGAAGTTGAGGAGCAAGGCATGTTTTAATGCCTGGGATGTTTTCTAAGGCAATAGTCATTCTGGAATATTACATTTCAGGAGATGAGCACAAGCTCAGGAAGACAATGGGTTAAGCAAGTGAGTTTCACAATAGATGTTTTTTTGTTATTCTCTGTGATTTCAGAGAACCCGTATACTAGTTTGTGATGGAAACCCCAGAGGTTTACACCACTAACTGAACTGGCTTTTTATCTACTGCTGTGGCTGTGGTCTGATGAGATGATTCCCGCTGAAGCATCATACAGGGCTGATGCAGATCACGCTATTTGTGTAGTTAGGATTTTGTGACAAGCGATGGCCTGGACAGAGTGTCTAGGTGAAAGCTGGAACTTGTGTAGTCTTTGGAAAAGGAAGATGTAAAGCAGCATAAGCAGAAATGAAGTGTTGGGCACGGAAAACATCAGCTGGGTTTGGTTTGTCGTCTTCTGTGCATGAGCCCATTAGCAGGGGCAGAGTCAGAGCTGGAGGCTGAGGTTGTTACCGAGCCGAGCTTTTGCAGCTGCTTTCACGGGAACTTCTGATCGTCACATGGTTAGACGTGTATAAAAGACTGAGATGCTGTTGATAGCTTCTTTGCTCCTCATTCCTAATATTTGTCAGTAAATAACAGGCTATTCTTGCAAAAGGATAACCTCGAGTTACCGAGGTTAACTTTCAGTGGGGATGCAGAATTATTGCGGTAGGAACTGAGTGAGTTGAGCAGCTTGCCTGCAGTGGGGGCTCGCTGGCACGGGGAAACCTGGTTTTCAGCCCAGAAGCTCAGCAGTGTTTTAGAGGTCAGGATGTAACTTCAAAGCACTCTTCAAAGGTTTTCAGATAAAAATAACCATAGAAGATATGGGTTTGGCATCCCAGTTCATTTGATCAATGTGTCATTGCTTATGAAAGAATGCGTAGCTGGAATATGTACTGTTAGGGAGCGCTCAAAAGCTTCTCCTGGGACAGGGCAGAGACGCCGGTGTGTCGGTCCCTGCCTACCCGGGCCAGCAGAAGGTGCCTTTGCATCTCCCAAATCTTGCTGTCCCATCTGTGCAGTTGCTATTTCTCCAAGTACAAAAGGTGGATGACTATTTTTATACCTCCCTCGAGCAATTAAACCCTCATGCCAAGGTTGGCTCTCGGTAGCAATAAAAGATGTAGGAAGGACCTTGTAAAGTAATTTGCTGTTTTCATTCCAATAACCATGGAATAGGTGGAGACACTGCACAAAATTCTTTGTATAATCAGCACTGATCTCCGCAGAAATCAGGACTAGATAGGCATGGAGACAGAACGTCCATATTACCTTCAGAAATACATCTCTAAATCAGCATTAAAGGACATTGTCAGAAAAAAAAGGGAAAGCAGACAACTTCAGACTCTTTTGAAAGTGAGACAGAGCAATCTGTCCTCCCAAGGAAACCTTTTATTCTGGCGAAACGCTAACAAAGATGAGCTGGCAGACAGTCAAAGGGTGGCGGGGGGATCCGGGACTCATTCTCCCAGCCCCCTCTGACCCTGCCTGGCAGGTGATCTGCAAGGCAGATTTCAAATTGCAAGTACCCTTTAATAATGTAGGGCCAAATAATGTTCTGAAAGGGAAAGAAGGGATTATAGATGAAATAAGGCGAAATTCTGTAAGGAAGATTTACTATACCATTGTTCTGTACGTCAAAGCGTGGTTTGTTTTGCTCAGAATACATAATCACCTGGCCTGTAAGACCGTAGTAACATCCCGGTTTCCCCCAATTCCTTATTTCTCAGCCAATAAAAAGGTACGGAAATGAACTGACAACAACTAATGAAGGTAAAAATGGTGGGCAAGGTGGATGTTAGAGCTCAGTGAATTTCTCCTCTACCTGGTAGGGATACTACACAGTTAAATTCTCAGCACTAATGGGCGTTATCAAAGTGTAAACTCTCAATAACCTCATTTGCTGAGTTTTAACAGCCAATGACAAAGGTATTTCCTAACTGCTATTCCTTGTATTTTCATAGTCTATAATAAGTTAAATAAATTGACATGTCGCACGTCTTCTCCAAATTTGGAAGCTGAAATGAATGGTCCTTTTTCCCTGGTTTGTCCTGTAGTGCATTCCCGTGGACTCCTTTGCCAGCCCCCTCTAACCATCCTCCCCTTTCTTGCAGCATGCAAGAGGAAAGAACAAGAGCACGGGAAGGATAGAGGGAATACACCCAAAAAGCCTCGGTTGGTCTTCACGGATGTCCAGCGTCGAACTCTACATGCAATATTCAAGGAAAATAAGCGTCCATCCAAAGAATTACAAATCACCATTTCCCAGCAGCTCGGGTTGGAGCTGAGCACCGTCAGCAACTTTTTCATGAATGCACGGAGGAGGAGTCTGGATAAGTGGCAAGACGAGGGCAGCTCCAATTCAGGCAACTCATCTTCTTCATCAAGCACTTGTACCAAAGCGTGAAGGAATAACCACGAACTAAACCTCGGTGGAAAAGCTTTAAAAATAAATAAATAAATAAAGACAGACCAGGACCTCAAGATAGCAGGTTTATACTTAGAACTATTTGAAAAAAATGTTATTTATAAGTCCAAAGAAACCAAAGACTTATTTCACCTGCATTATGACTTTGTTCTAAGACACACACTTTAGTAGGACGACGACTTGCAAAAAATAGAGAGGAAGAAGAAAGCGAAATGGAGGGAACAAAACAGAATGCAAAGAGAAGAGAAACAGACCACTGGTCTTACACCTTCGCCCATGATCATCTTCACCGTCCTTGGCTGTTTAGTGGTTTGGAGCATAGTGATTTCTTGTCATTGAACAGACATCTCTTCAGATATGGCTCTTCATTTCCACAGCAATTGCCATGAAGGTGTATCGTGTATCCGTACTGCGTACACGCCGGTGGTTAGGGACTTAGTCAGGGCTGGTCTTCAGAGAGGGTCGTGCCACGGCACGGCCGACAAAACGTGGAGTCGTCTGAATTCATTTGAACGGTAGTGTGATTTTTGCTGTTTTGTGGTTTGAACTTAACCAGTACAACGCCTGGAAACAAGTTCAAACTAGGCAAAGAAATTTTGAATGGTACCTAAACCAGTGCATTCTCTTTGTTTGTTAAGGAATGTTCAGATTTAAAAAAGGAAAACTATTCCATCCATAAAAAAAAAAATCGACTAGCTACCAAAGAACACATTTAATAATTATATTGCAGGTATTTTATTGCAATGATTTTAATATTCCAAAGCTATTTTTACACAAAATACTATGTAGAGTTATAGGTATAAACTAATCTAACTGTATAACACATAAAACTTGTAATCAAGACTGTTATTTGCAATTAGTAAAATCACATTATTGTTTTGTTCCATGGTTGGCAAGAAAGAATGTCACCTGAGGAGATGGCAGCCCCTGCCAGAGCACAGGGGCTGACAACGGGACGCTGCTTCCTTTGAAGCCAGTCAGCCTTTCAGGCGCTGACTTCAATGGGAGCAAAAAAAGGGGCTGTTCCAGCCACGCGTACGATGGCGGGGGAGCTGGCGTGCGCGCACCCCCCTATTACACAAAAAAGCGCTGACTTCAAGGGGAGCAAAAAAAGGGGCTGTTCCAGCCACGCGTACGATGGCGTGGTAGCTGTCGTGCGTGCACCCCCTTATTACACTCTCGCGGGCCGATGCTGCTGGAAGCCCGCTGAGCAGCGCCCTGTGCACCGTGCACTGTGTGTAAATACAGCTCAGCTCTGCCACCTAGCCTGCAAGCAGGAGACCTGAAGCATTCCGTATGCAAAAATGAAAAGAATTGCAAAATGTAAAACCACAGGGCTCAGCATCTGATCAATACTCATTGACATTAGTAAGCTTTTTTTTACCTATTGACTTTACTAGGCAGAAAAATAGCAATGGCTGTGAAGGCTCATGGTCTTTTCCTATTGCAAACAGTGGTACAACACCAGTTAACGTTGGTGGGAAGAGCTCCAACAGCAGCTCCAGTAGTGCTTTGGGAAGGGCGAATCGTGGTGCCTCTGAAGTCAATAGCAAAATTCCCATGACACCGAGATAGAGCCTGAAGTTTTGTGGCATCCTAGCTGTGAATAGCAGGCTGAGCTTTTGTCCTGTGCATTCTTTCTTGCTCATCTATTAATCAGGATAATGCATGAAATAGTTTAAAGTTTGTAGCAAAAAAGCTTTAAATGCTCTGTTGCTAACAGACCCGTAGAAGAGAAATCATCCCGTTCCTACTCTGATAAAACTAAAAAAAAGCGTGCACCATCTGCATATTAAATTTTAGTGTAAGCGGAAAATAGATTTTAAAAACCATACATGTGCCTGTTAGATTTCTAACTGGTGTTTCAAATTACTGTAGTAATTCTACTAGGTATATTAAGTTCCAAAGTAACCAAATATGCAGGTCTAGGCCCAATGCAAGGATTAGAAATAGGTAATATTACTTACACCCTTTTTATTCGAAAAAAAAAAAAAAGAGAGAAAGGAAAACTCAAGGTAAACTAGAATCCAACCCCATCGACAATAGCAGGTGCTGGTTTTTGGGACAAAGCCCACTCAAAATACTAAGGACACCAAAGTGAAGCAACCTTGTAGCACCAGTTATTTCCCAAGAGGACAGGGTCTAGTTAAGGTTCAGGCTATACAGTTAATTGCCAGTAAGTGTTTAGAATACAGCTGAAATATCTCTTTATTAAAATAAAGTCAAATAAACCCAAGACTTTTGGCACTGAATATTCCTCCACATTTTCCTACTCTAAACCCACCTTAAGACTGACAAAGCAATTGTCTGTGAAAATGTAATCTAATCCATGAGTTTTTCCAGTCTCTAGCTTACCTTAAATTTTAGCGAGCTTTCTGTTGAAGCGTTCCCTCCCCACGGAGACATAATTGACATGGAAACATTAATAAGCTCACCTATAAAGCATTTTAGGAATCCAGTCTCATAGTGTAAGGTTAATAAAGGACAGTGATAACCAATGTTTTAGTTTTTTCCAGCAAAACACTGCTTTATAATGTACCTATAGTTTAGAAAAGAAAGCCTTATTTATTTAAAACTTGAGAATTTAAAAATGCAGGGAAATTCAAAAGTACATTGCCGCATTTTTTAGTATTTCCATTGTATTGTCTTTAGAGACTACTTGCTGAAACCAAAGAGAACTTTCATACCAGCATTAAATTTGCACCCAATATGCAATTTCAGGATCTCTGATTCACACACACGCAAGCCCCTGAACAGGTCTGTGTACATACACGCTCACATGCGCGGCTATGGGGGTGTATGTATGTATACATGCGCGCACATACATCCACACACACTAAAGCTGATGCACAAGTTGTAGATTTTAAGCGCTTTGGGTTTTTTACATGTCTGTTTAAGTATATATAAACCTTTTGGTTTTTTATAAGCCATTAGGAACAAAACCACTCTTCCCATAAGCAATACGCCCCTCATACTCCGAATAGGCAAAGAACACACTTTTCGTTAATTCCTTTCAACACATGAAGCAAATAACTATGGAACTGCTCATTCTACCTGTAAAGCTGTTTTACCTCTGAGTAGACTGCCCAGCTGCACCGACTGAAGCACGGACAGGTTACCTGGCGCTCCCCGGCTCCGATGGCTGCCGTTCCTTAGCAGGGCATCCTTAAAGGGGAGCTGTTTTCTAGTGCTGCGCTTAATGTTAGGCGGGACAGCCTGTCTCTGTTGTATTAGCGTTAGTCTTTCGGTTCACTTCATTCCTGACAAAATGGAAGTTAGTTTCAAATTCAGCAAAAGGACCTAAAAATCTGCCAGGAAGGGTTAGGAGAGGGAGCAGAACCTGAAACAATTTGGGAGCATCAGGAGATGGGGCTTCAGCCAAAGGTGACTCCACGGGCGAGAGGGCATTAGGGACGCGCATTCGGCTCATAGGCTGCATCCAGACCTGACCGCAGTGACCCCCGAGGGGAGGCTGGCCAGGAGGTGAACCGTCCGCATCCATCCCCATTGTAAATGGCATTATTAGCTTTCCAGGAAAAAAAAATAATAATAAAAAAAAAAAAAATTCAGACCAACCCGTACCGCTACGTCAGCCCCCGCATTGCTTTCCAGGGGCCTCAGCCTCCTCTCCTTACTCAGGTAAAGCAAACCCGACAAGAGCAAGCGAGCCAGTGATGGGGCTTTCGCTTGAGAATTTGCCTCTGCTCCAACCAATGCCAGAAGCAAACTCCCAAGCGGCCGAAGTGGCCGGGGAAGCCCTGGTGTCCCAGCAGGGGACCAGCCCTGGGGCTGCCCGTGGGCACTGCTCTCCTCCTGAGAGGGATTTCAGGATAAGGCCGGGCTGGCGGCGAGCGCTACCCGGGGGAGGCTGCCGCTGCCTGGAGGGCTCGGAAACACTGCTGAGCTTATACCAAAGAGTCTTAGGACACCTCTCCTCACCTGAGTTGTAAACAAGACATTTTTACCCTGAAAAATGGTCCTTCTTTCTACTACTCTTCCTCCTATCCTCCTCCTCTTCCTCCTCCTTTGTACATAAGGATGAAAACTATGCATTTAGCAAACAAAGAGAAAGCACTTACCCTTTTCTATCTCGCTGCGTTTGGGTGCATTCAAAGGCCCAGGGGCTAATTTTGAGACTTTGCTTAGCCTCCTGGTTTATTATTGTGGTGTGGTTAGCTTTACAATACATTTGGTAACTATTTGCTAAAGACAAAGAAGCAAAAGATAAGGAATAGCTACTTCCACGTGTTAAAAAAAAAAAAAAGAAAAAAAAAAGAAAAAAAAGTGTGTAAAGATCTACTATTTATAGTGTGAACCAAAGACGCTACCTCACTCGATTTCCATTGGTGATTTTAATCACATTGATGATACCAAAGAATACCAAAGATTTTTCATGCACGGCCTCGGTCTGGAAAGGGAACTCATCCTCCTTCTTGCCCCCGTCCCCCTGAGCCCCTCCTCACCCTCACTCAGTGTCTAACCTTGTCTCCATTCTTAATGGTAATGCTAATACCTTACAAATACTTCTCTTGCTACAACTGCTACTACTGACGATGATAAGGATAATGATAATAATAAAGCTCTAGGCAAACATGTTGCAAACTTTGTAAACTCATAGGACGAGTGCCTTGCTTGAACCAAAGTGTTAAACCGCTGTTGACCTCTTTATCTCTCACCTTATACTCTTTGAATACCTCAGCCTGTTAGAAAGGCCACTAATGAAAAAAGGAATAATTCTTCACCGTGGTGCTTTTTGCCGTGCAACCATGCAATGAAACTTTCTTTGATACCAAAGGAAAATTTTTTTTCCACTTTCTTGCTGACAAACCAAAGGTTCCCTCTTCTTTCCCCCAGAGCAGCTTGAGTCCCTCAGCCCAGACAGGCCGTGCATCGCTTTTACCAATTCCTCCAAATACCTCATAGTAATAAATCTTTAGGGTTATGTTGTATAGAGAGTCTATGTGATAAGGCAGAACTTA